CATGGTATTAATCATCATACAGGTCATTCAACATGTTGTCAATTTCATAAGACAGGTCAATTCACAATTTTATCATATTAATCATAAGACAGGTCAATTCATACATGTTTTTCCGTATTTTATAAGGCATGTCAATTCACACATGTTTGTCATATTCACAGACTGTAATTGTCAGTCCCATGTTCATGAGCTGAAACAAAAGATCCCAAAAATGTTCCATATGCACAAAAAGCTTATTTCTCTCAAATTTCTTTTCAAGAATTTGGCAGTATTGTTAATGGCCTCACAACCGCAGACCCACGTGTAACCTCACCAGCCCGGGACCTCCACATCCGGCTTCTTCACCAGCGGGATCGTCTGAGACCAGCCCCCCTAAGCTGAGGAAATGGAGGAATATTTCTGTCTGTAATAAAACCCCTTTGTGGGGAAAAACTCATTCTGATTGGGTGGGCCTGGCTCCCCCAGTAGGTGGGCCTATGCCCTCTCAAGCCCACCCATGGCTGTGCCCCTGCCCAATCGTGAAATCCATAGATTAGGGCCCAATGAATTTTTTCAATTGACTGATTTCCTAAATTAAATGTTTGTTCAGTATAGATTTATGTAATTGGAAAAACAAATATAAGATATTTTATACACCAGGGTTTGCTCAATTCAGAATTTGGGAATTGACTCCCATTCAACTCATGAGTTGAAATTCAAATTCAATTGGGCCCCCCCCACAGGATGTAGAATTTGAATTTCCGTGACAGGAAGTATAATTTAATTCAGTGCAATTCTTTCCCTTTTTTTTTAATTTAATTCCCTGACTTCAACTCTATTTTCCCTTTTATTAAAATTGCAATTCTGTATCCTACTTATTACTTCAATTAAAATTCAATAATTGAATTGGATTATGAGCCATTCTCAATAAATTCTGAATTGACCAGGACCCTGTTATACACTGCAAATATACATATTTCCCTGAGAGTGAAATGAGTGCCTGTCATTCAGTCTGATTAAAGCTGGAATCGTTAATTGTGAAACTGCCACGTCCGTTCGAGATATTACAACAACAAAGAGTTATTGGGAACAACCACACTGTTTTCCCCTCAGAACATCATTGCACACGATAGAAGAGCACAATATGAACTGCAATTATTTTACCATGTTGCACGACACTCCGTACCTAGGCAACAAAAACAATAACAAAGGTGGTCATAGATATTAGTATTCAGACCCCTTGACTTTTCCACATTTTGTTATGTTAACAGCCTTATAAAAAATAAATATATTTTTAATACATATACAGTGGGGAAAAGGAGAACAAGTATTTGATACACTGCCGATTTTGCAATTTTTCCTACTTACAAAGCATGTAGAGGTCTGTAATATTTATCATAGGTACACTTCAACTGTGAGAGACGGAATCTAAAACAAAAATCCAGAAATCACATTGTATGATTTTTAAGTAATTAATTTGCATTTTATGCATGACATAAGTATTTGATCACCTACCAACCAGTAAGAATTCCGGCTGTCACAGACCTGTTAGTTTTTCTTTAAGAAGCACTCCTGTTCTCCACTCATTACCTGTATTAACTGCACCTGTTTGAACTCGTTATCTGAATAAAAGACACCTGTCCACACATTCAATTCAACAGACTCCAACCTCTCCACAATGGCCAAGACCAGAGAGCTGTGTAAGGACATCAGGGATAAAATTGTAGACCTGCACAAGGCTGGGATGGGCTACAGGACAATAGGCAAGCAGCTTGGTGAGAAGGCAAAAACTGTTGGCGCAATTATTAGAAAATGGAAGAAGTTCAAGATGATGGTCAATCACCCTCGGTCTGGGGCTCCATGCAAGATCTCACCTCGTGGGGCATCAATGATCATGAGGAAGGTGAGGGATCAGCCCAGAACTACACGGCAGGACCTGGTCAATGACCTGAAGAGAGCTGGGAACACAGTCTCAAAGAAAACCATTAGTAAACACACTACGCCGTCATGGAATAAAAATCCTGCAGCGCACACAAGGTCCCCTGCTCAAGCCAGCGCATGTCCAGGCCATCTGAAGTTGCCAATGACCATCTGATGATCCAGAGGAGGAATGGAGAAGGTAATGTGGTCTGATTAGACAAAAATAGAGCTTTTTGGTCTAAACTCCACTCGCCGTGTTTGGAGGAAGAAGAGGATGAGTACAACCCCAAGAACACCATACCAACCGTGAAGCATGGAGGTGGAAACATCATTCTTTGGGGATGCTTTTCTGCAAAGGGGACAGGACGACTGCACCGTATTGAGGGAGGGATGGATGGGGCCATGTATGGCGAGATCTTGGCCAACAACCTCTTCCCCAGTAAGGCATTGAAGATGGGTCGTGGCTTTCCAGCATGACAAGACCCGAAACACACAGCCAGGGCAATAAGGAGTGGCTCCGTAAGAAGCATA